TAAGTTCTCTCGAAAACGAAAACGAAAATNGGGGGGGGGGGGGGGGCGAATGAAAAAGACTTTGCTTTTTCCCGCTGTTCACTTTGGTCTTTATACAAAGCAGGGTATCCGGCGGCCTTAGAATCGGGATGGTCGGAAAAAAATCAGGAAATTCATAGCGACTCAGAAAAGTCGGAAAATTTCACTCGTAGTTCTTCTTAGCAGCCTCAGCCTCCAAAGTTTCGTAACTTTTGAAGAACCACCGAAGTCTTGAAGACCAAGGTTGCCGAACCTACGGACTATGTGAAAAATTCCCTGACTTTTCCGGGTTTCCGCGAACTTCTTGTCTTTCCCTAATTTTCCCCGATTCTCAGGCTGCCGGGTGCCTCCGGGTTTCACTAAAACGCACGTGGTAAGTATTTTTTTTTTTTTTTTTTTTTTTTCAAGTTGTTTTAGGTTTCTTACCCTGATGGGGCACTGGAACCTTGTATGGGAGTTGTGGAGTAAAATTTTCTCTCTGATTTTTCTAATCCTGCAAATACCATAGGTGTATGTCGAGATGGCATCAATGGAGTGGTAAAAAATTGCATTGATTCCCAGGGTGTCTACAAGTCCAGAATTTCTGGAAAGTCCGGAAATAGTGCTGGTTTTTTAAGGGCGGTCCGGAAATACTGAAAAAGTGCGGAAATTTCCGCAAGAAGGTCCTGAATTTTTTTAATTTTTTGTCATTTTTGTCGCTATTTGAGCGTGAAATTCAAATTTTTGAAATTTTTCGAATTACGTCAATTGGAGGCACTGGAGAAGTACCGAATTATTCTGCTGAGGAAGTACTGAGTTTCTTGGGAATGTACTGAAAAGCACTTTTAAAGTACTGATTTTTGGTCAGTTTGTTTTAGCAGACACCGCGACTCCGCCGAAAATAATATGATTGTCCATTGCAGTGGCGTGGCGTGAATTGCGATGTATCCATTGTCATGCCTTTTAAACCTATGGTAAAGAATCGATTATTAAGGTGTTCGCTGCGAACACCCTGTTTATCGATCCTTTTCCATAGGTATAAATGACATAACAATCGATACATCGCAATTCACGCCACGCCACTGGTCCATTGAGTTTCTCGAGCGTCGATCGAGCTCCATGAGTGATGGAGCTAGTCTTCCTCCGGTTTGGGGGATTTGGAAACGAGATGATGGCGAGGGCGCTGCTGAGGGCGGAGTGTGGAAGTGGATTCCGGAATCTGGAGGCATTCCGGCATTTCCTGGCGGCGGACCCGGAGGAATCGGCTCGTGTCGGCGTCGCCATCGACAACCGGGACGGGGACGAGGACTGTCGTGAGCGCGGGAATCCGAAAAATGTCCCGCGATGCCGCGCGCCGCACAGTGGATCCAGTCGATGGAGATGTTGCATCTGTGAGGAATTTGCGATTTGACTGTTGATTCTTTTGTATAAGTTCGCGAGAAACACGATGGTGCCACTGGTTTTCTCTGAAATCAACTCTCAAGCTCAGAAAAAGCTCTCAAAGTGAGGCCAAAATGGAGGGGATATCCCAAGCTATCCTGAGAGTTCATCTCTACATCAAGACAAACTCTCCATGCAAAGATGGTCCACTGGTTTTCTCTGAAATCAACTCCCAAGCTCAAAAAGACTCTCAAGTTGAGGCCAAAATGGAGGGTGAGGGGATATCCCACACTATCCTGAGAGTCCACCACTACATCAAGACAAACTCTCCATGCAAAGATAGGGAGCAAATACACTAGCAGTGATGCCGTGTTTTCAGTTTTAAAGTCCCCAAGTAAAGTGGCAGCCCTGTCAATGAATTTGCGCCCTATCTTTGCATGGAGAGTTTGTCTTGATGTAGAGGTGGACTCTCAGGATAGCGTGGGATATCCCCTCCATTTTGGCCTCAACTTGAGAGCTTTTTTTGAGCTTGGGAGCTTATTTCAGAGAAAACCAGTGACACCATCGTGTTTCTCGCGAATTTTTACATAAGAATCAACAGTCACATCGCAAATTCCTCAGACATGCAACATCTCCATCAGAGAGCTCGGACGTGAAATTTTTGACTCGAACTGCATATTTTGATGTGTATTTCGTCCCATTTTAAATTTCAAAGGGTGTCATTCAAAGGAAATGTTACGAGGAAACGAATGGAACCACTTTTAGAACCTCAATGTAAATTGGGAGTATAATCGGAGTTTTAAGTGTTGAAAGTTTCCAAACTTTGTCCGACCTCTCCTATTGACGCGGTCCATTGTGCGCCGCCCGGGCCCGGGGTCGCCGAGAAATCGGTGACGGTGACTCGGCTTTTAATTATGTGGCGCGACTCCCTTGCGTTGCGTTTGCGTCGCGTCGGAAGTTTGTGGAATTCCGCGCGCACCCCCGCGCCCCGCGCATGTTCCCAAACTGCCCCTCCAAATCCCGGTTTTACACTGCCGTGCTAGGGAAAACGCCGTATGAGCCTTCAGGCGTTGCCAAATTCAGGGCCGGATTAAGGGGGTGGCCACATGGGCCGCGCGGCCCATGGCGGCAAATTTAAGGGGCGGCAATAATTTGCAATTTTTTAAAGTGTAGGTATAACAAAAACATCGAATTTATGAAAACAAAATTACAAACGAGAAAAGGCGACAAAATCTCCCATTTCCTGAGAGTATAGTAATTTATAATTTTGTCGTCTCATAGTGATGCAAGAGACAGCACCTTCAATAAGTCGACTTAAGAAAGAGACCAAACACGCAATTTGGCCTGGAACGGCGCGACTTAGAGAGAGATGATAACGAGGACTTGAAATGAAAAGGAGAAGCCCTCGGCGCGGTGATCGGCATGTAATACATATTAGCGCCTACAAGACTGCACGAAAACTTCACGCATTGCATCAAACACAGTGCGGTCATTCCGGTCAGCGTGAAACGGATAGCGCCTACAAGAATGCGTGAATACTTCACGCATTCCGTCCAACACGGTGCGGTCTGCGCGGCGCGGCGCGGCGGCGGAAGTTAAAATCATTGAACCACATTTATGTTTGTTCTTTCATAATTGTTTCGTTCATTTCTTATGAATGGAAAGCCTTGTCCACACAGAGATAGGTTTACGGAACTTAACTTTCGCGCAAAGTTTCGTGAACTTTTGCTAGTGGTGGCAGGGCTTTCCCAAAAAATGTGTTCAACATGAGTAAATGCGTCTCATGCACCCCTCCCCCGCTGGCACGTTCATTTGATGGTTGCGAGAGTGATGGTCTAATCCAACGAGTGTCAATTGATCAGCGCACAAAATCAGGGAAAAGCATTCTAAATATCAGGAAAATCCAAAATGAAATTGAGCGCATTTAGCAGATGGAACCAAGTCTCATATTGCCAAAAACTAAGTATTTTCATTTTTTACAAGAGAACGTTTGTTCAAATTCCGTTGAAAATTTTAAGCAAACCGCTTCGCGTTCTATGCAGAGAATTTACCGAAAGTTTTTCTTCTTCCTTCCCTCTTTTGTCCACTTTTCTCCTCCTTCGTCCTCCTCTAGCCTTGCTTCTGATTTCTTCTGCATCCTCATCTGACATTTGTTAGGAGTCGTAATCAACTGTTTAAACCTATGGGGAAGGATCGATAAACAGGGTGTTTCAACGAAAACCTCAATAATCGATTCTTTATCATAGTTTCAAGTGGGGAACTATCGATAAGCGATAACTGGTGAACGGTGGACTGGAGTTGGACGCGCAGGTGGAAGTGGGCATGTAAATAACTACCCGGTGCGTTACTATTCTGCCGTGCTAAGGAAAAACGCCGTATGAACATTCGAGAGTTGCCAAGTTTCTTTCGATATAATGTTTATTTTTGAGGAAAGCTGTCAAAATTTTTCCTTGGAATATTAAGGAACTTTAGGGGAAATTGCGAACAAAATTATCTGAAAAATTGGAGGAAAAATATCCACAAATTTCCCCGAAAATTCGTGATTTATCAAATGAATTTTGGCTACACCTAAAAGGTTTATACGGCGTTTCTCCTTAGCACGATAGAATTGCTCCTCGCCGAACATGTACGATGCGCATGCGCAGTCGTAATTTATTTATGCACGTAATTAATGTGACGTCACTGTCGCCGTGTCGAGTTTCGCGGGGTTGCCGAGTTTCGGCAGATTTTCCGAATCTTCAAAAATAACCCTCCAAAATCGTTCGTCGGGTTCGGAACTTCGGAAGTAACTGAAGCGGATCCAGAGAGGGAGAGAGAAGAAAGAGAAGGAAGGAAAGAAAGAGGAAGGGAGAGGAAGATAGAGGAAGGAAAGAAAAAAAGAAAAAAGACAGGAAGGAATTCAAACAGGCTACCAAAAAATTTAGTTTGTTTTTGTTGCCGTTCGTTAAAGTCTCTGGAAATACCAATTTCAATGGCCAGCATACTGATAATTCCGCTTCTCAGTTATCGAGCTTCATACTGCCGTGCTAAGGAAAAACGCTGTATGAACTTTCGAGAGTTGCCAAATTTCCCCGAAAAAACGGGTATTTTTGAGGAAAGTTATGCATATTTCTCCTTGAAATTTTCAGATATTTTAGTTTAAATCGTGAACCAAATTGACTAAAAAATTTGAGAAAAATTACTAACAGTTTTCTCAGTAAATACGGGTTTTCTTGAAGGAAATATGGCAACGTCCGAAGGCTCATGCGGCGTTCTTCCTTAGCATGGCAGCATAGAGGGTCGATGAGCGATGATAGTGAGAGATGAGTGACACCTTTCCTCCCCTTCCCTCTCCCTTTCCTCCCCCTTCCCTCCCCCTACAACAAATGATATTCAACTCAGTGGTTAAAGTTGAACTCCCGCTGGTATTCCTCCCGGTCCGGGCGCTTTGTGATTCTTCAACCCCTTGATGGCCAAATACTTTACACTCACGTGCCAAAAAAAAGCACGTTCCCTCTCGCCCACCGCGGTTGTCAAAATTCAGACGACCTGCTCCGAAAAGTGACACGCCTCTTGGTAACTAAAACTAATCGCTTGATATTTGATTCTCTTATCTGATGACATGATTTGTTTTCTTGTTGCAGGGATTGGACAGCAATGGAAAACCTCTTCTTACTTTCCAACTCCGAGTTCAGTTCTATGTTGAAAGTCCGCTTTTACTCAGGTATTTTTGGTTGAAGAAGAAATGTCTTATTTTTTCCTTCTTTTTTCAAAGATCATGTGAGAATAAACCGAAGGAATACCACATTTTAGCATAAGCCCTCGTTTTTTAAAAGCTCACCATTATAAAGTCCCTGCGATTGATTTAGAATTTTCTTGTATTATGGATTAGTGAATCTACTATTTTGCTGAAGTATCCAGAGCCGTCTAGTTTTTTGCAGAGAACCTTCAAAGAATGGTTTTGTACAAATCGAATGGAATGACAATCATTGAGCACTCAAAAAATTGCATAACTATCATCTCAAGCTTTAAAGTGACAGGATCACACTCACACAAAAAAAATATCGATACATCAAAGTTCATCAATTTTTATAAACTGGCGACGCAACTACGAACGTCTCATCTTGTTTTATAACTCAGCAGAAATTAGTCTTCTCTTTTTCAAGAGCAAATTAAAATCCTACGACTTTTTTTTTTTTTTTTTTTGGAAGAAAATTGTTAACTGTGTTTTTCTGCTTGTAGGGATGAATATTCAAGACACCTCTATTACCTTCAACTTCGGAAAAATGTCATTTCACGAGGCACACTCCATGCAAGCGCCAGTGAGGAGATCATCTTTCTCCTCACTGGTCTTGCTCTCCAAGCAGATTTCGGGGATTTCAGTGAAATTCAACATACTGGACAGTATTTTCAACTCTCGGACTATTTTCCACCCCATGTAAGTATTTTCTTTTATCGTTTTCTTATTTTGCTGTATCAACAAGTTATGAAAGCACCTCTCTCCTCCCCCCCCCTCCTCCCCAGCATTTCCTAAGAAACAGGAGTCGCTCTTTTTATGAGATTCTGCTCAGTTTTCAATCAGTGAAATTGAAGCGCTGGTTGCGGAAAGAGCATTTCTCAATGGGACGTATTTATGCTAAAAGGAACTAAGTTACACACAATCCTTATGCACATAGCTATGCACCTCGTCCAACGATGAGGTGCATAGCTGTTAACGTTATAGAATACCTGTTAACGTTTTATCCACTATAATTAAAGCAAATGTATGGAATTGGTTAAAACTTCTACTGAATTTTCTTCATAATCTTACGATGCTGGAAACGAAAAAATTCAGAAAATTCACTGAACAGTTTCCTCTATAAAATATATTAGCAGTGAAGGTTTTGAGACACTGCAGCCATGAAATGCCCCTTCTGCACCCAACGCCTCAATTGGCGTTTGTTCTACACTCTTTCTGCTTTTCATTAACAATGACCAGAAAGTTGCATTTTTCAAATGGATTAATTATTATCAAGAGGTCATAGTGATATATTTATCTGCCCTTGATAAAGTATCGTAAAAAGACTGGATCGATGTTGCGGCAAGAAGTGGAAGAAATACTAATTACTGTTTGTGAAGAGTATAATTTTTTATTAATGTCTTGCCATGGTTTTCCGCTTTAAAATCTCCACTAAAAATATTATTTATCTTCCAGTTATGTTTGCTGACAGCCAGTAGTACGACTACTGCATTTTGTCTTAAAACTTCTTTCTTAAAAAAATAAAAATTATTTATCTCCTCTGAAAAATCAATTAAAAGTCATGGAATTTTTTTTTACAGATGCTCAGCAATGGGAGTGAACCGAGATTATTTCAAACTGCTACAAACTTACATAGGCATAATTGTAGTTTATCTAAGGAAAGCGCTGAGAACGAATTCATCCGTGAGGCATCCTCAGCGAGTAACTGCCCTCTCACCCACAACTCCCACCTCTATCACCTTAAACAGAAGAAAAATGACCCCAACCCAGGGACTGTTTCGCTGGCCATTTCTACCACTGGTATCAAACTCTACGAGGTAAGCTTCTTCCCATTCGTTCTTTTGTATGATCTGATTTCTAGCCACAGATTTTAATTTAGTTTACAAAGGAGAGGAATACTGATCCAATTTTTTTTTTTTCTTCGATTTTATTAAGCTAATTTCAATATTTTTTCTATCTATTTATTTTCTTTCATGGCCTACAAATTCTCTCTGCGCCCAGAAACATTTTTGCTGTTGCACACATCTGTCAAAGTAAATACGTATAATTTTAACAAAAGGATTTTAAATTATCTGCTTATCGTCTAATGCACTTTTTTTATTTTAATCTTTTCAGGATAGCCCGACCAAACCTGTTAGCGGTAACTTTTTGTGGGGCAATATCGGAAAGCTGGGTTTCGATGTAAGTTAAAAGCATTGCCACTAACTAACTCTCTCTGCAATTTTCTAGTATCTATTGAAAATTTTACGTGGAAAACATGTCTGTATTTTTATCATGCTTTTTGCATTTTCTAAACTTAGATGATTTTTTTTAAATCAATATTTGCATTAGGTATCGCTGGATGGATTATATCAAATTCTAAATCATTCTAAACAAAATATTTCTGTAGAAGTTGCATTACTGAGTGTTAAATAAGCATTCCACATCAGAAACAATATTGTTCACTTCAAAAATAAAACTGAAAACCAGTGGAGATTAAATAAAAAAATCGAAACCTTTTTTATTATGATTTCCTCCATTTTTGTCTCCACCAAAGATTCTGCACGATTATTATTCACAGCCCTTCCTTTTCCTAGTTAATTACTGAAGAAGGTGCAATTTGTTCTCTTCTCAAATAAGTATTTTTGTAAGCAGCATCATTATACAACTTTTCAATTATTGTCTGTTTCAGAGGAAAAAATTCGAAATTCGAGGTTCCAATCCAGGGCCCTCGGCTGGTGAAAAATTAGTGTATTATACTAGTAGCGATGAAAAGAGCAAACATTTGTTAATGCTTTGTAAAGTAACGCATCAATTCTTAATGGCAATTCAACCAAGGCTTACAGAAATCCAACAAAAAGAGGAAGAAGGTAAGTGAACAGCAAAATTGAACTTCATAATTGAAGTTCATAACAATATGAAACCTTTAACCAAAATAGCTATCAAAATTTCTGATGTATTAAAAAAAAAAATAAATAAATAAATAAAAAAAATAAAATAAAAAACGGACCAAAGTAGGGACCTCGGTAGATCCATTAAAGTTAAAAATTCCTATAGGAGCATGGCTGAGTTTCTTGCTAAAAACAAAACAAAGCTTTCTGAGAACACAGGACAATAATGCATGAAATACTTTTAGTCCGATTTCCTTGTCTTTGTTCAATATCTACGATTGTAAACAATCACTATGGTAACTGGGGTAACTGAATAAAGTTTAAAAAGTAAATTCTGAAAAATTAGTACACCTCTTGCCCTCCATTATTATACCCCTTAAGAGGGACAAACAAAAATCTATCTTGATTTGACACCTATTAGATCGTTTGATTTTCAAATGGAAGTCAGCAAAATTAGATCAGAATAATTCTTCCCCTTTTGTTTAATTTCTCATTCATAAAATTTGTTAATTATCAAAATTGGTAATTTTTTTCAGAACGGAAGAAGAGTCAAGATTGGAATACCATGGGTAAACGGGATACATGCGAACGGAGCGACCAGCGGATCTCTGTCATTTCGAGCACCTCAAGCAATACTACATCTGGAATAGTTTCTGACCGAGTCCATAGTTTAGACGAAAGTGAAGGTATGTAATAATTGCCCCGAATTTTCGATCTTCCCTGTAATTTTTTATGGACTCCCACAATCCCAGTTTGAATTTTGTTTTAATAGATTACGGTTATTGATCAGGTAAAAGGTCGTTACCAATTGTTCCTGCACCAACTTGAAATAAAAGAAAATATAAAAAGTTGCCTGATATGTGTTCATATTCTTAATAAGTAAAAAATGATCATTTAAGTACATATACACAGTAAACTGAATTGACAGTCCCTTGTTTGCTTATAATTTTCATAGTTCTGATTCCATTCCATTTTAGTTTTTAACTTAGGTTGTTTTATTTCAGATGACCTCGAACTAGAAATAATGATTAACACACCGCCAGTAGCATCAGTAGAAAGTTTAGCGCTCGCTCATTTACGGGATAATTTAAATAGTTGTGAAAGTTCTCCTTCTCCTTGTTTGGCTTCTACCCAAGGTAAGTTTTTAGATTTTTTTTGTTCGAACTCATCTTGTTTCATGTTGTCTCAAAATCAATTTCAATTTTCGGAGAAATTGATCTAAAAGATATGCGCCTCATGCGGAACCAAATACCTGCTAAATCAATATCACTCTCACAAAATATACCTTTCTAGTGAGAAAGACTACAAAATATAAGGCCCCCCCCCCCAAAAAAAAAAAAATCTTCACTATTTTCTTACTTTTACTTCAGTCAACCGAGGCCTCTTCCTCTCTGTACTGGAGCTCAAGGGACTAGAGGACTCATCCAGTATAGAGAGAGATCCGGTAGCCAGAGAGGAAAATACATGTAAATTCATTTGGTACAGAGATTTTTATGCTATGGAGGGAGTTGCTATGGGGGTAGAGCACTGTATTACATTTTCATGGAAAATCAAATTTGTGACCGAGCCCTTTTGATCACAGAATGTCACCTAACCACTAACTGGCGAAGATAATTAGGAAGAAATGTTGTCTATAAAGGTTTTTTTTTTTTCAAAGACTGAGATGTTTCTTCAGGTCACCCTCATCATTTTTACGACCTGTACCCATTTTATTTAATGATTTTTCTTTCAGATACTGTCAGTGACGAGGTATCAGAGCCACCATTTAGTAATACCAAACACTTCACTCCAACATCTTCTGCTTTAACAGATGGAAGCCAGTGCTCTAGTTCATGTTCCACCGTTGTTGTTGCCAGTCCTGTTTCTATGGTAAGAGCAAGTGCTGATCTCTTTGCCGATAGGCAGCGCTTTTTGATTTCAACTTGCCTCTAGAGTACTAGTATACTAGTGCTAATTCGTTTAAATGGCGCACCAGCTCATCGATGTGTAGGCTCTTTGGGGGGGGTCCATTTTTAAAATTAATAAAGCTGTGAAAACTGTATTTTATGCTTTTAACGTAATGCGCAGGTAGTTTCGATCGTTTGTCTATAAGAAAATTTCTTAGCGGTAGCGTAATTCTTATCGAAATTGATAGTTGAACTCAAATGAAGCCTAAAAAAAACGCGCCTGATGAGCTCAACGGTGACTATCATTTTCGGGAAACGAAAAAACGCGTTTACGGTTCCCTTGGTAACCTTTGTTTGCTGTCAGCTGATGTTTTATTACCCAGCCAAGTCGACGGAGTTTATACTTCCTTTCTTCACTAAATACATTGACTAACACCTGAGCGCTTTTCTAATACAACAGTATTAGAACTTTCCCGCTTGTTTTTTACTTTTTTTATCTGCAGCCTGTAATTTTATGAATAATACTTTCACTTTTTCACATGGTTTGTGCGGTAAAACTACCTAAGGTGCACTTAGAAGTTTTCCTCAACCAATTTAGGTACTCGTAAATTTCCCAATTCAAAGCTTGTGTTTCTTATAAAAATGTAGGTTCCAAAGATATGAAGGATAAAACTTAATAGGTCAGCTGTGCCTATTTTTTTGAACTCATTTTCTTAAAGTAATGAGCGAGTTGAACCCCAAGTAATTTTTTTAGATTCTTTTACTTAAAACGACGGAAATAAATCGATTTTAAAGTCGTTAATATCTGAACCCATTCAAAATGATATTTTTGGCAGGCTATTATGACGTAGGCAGACAAAGAAATCCGCATTTGCTGATTGACAGAATCCCAGCCGAAGACATGGCCTAGTTGCATCTTCACAACTATCGGCCTCTGGTTGGTCGGATTTTAATCAGCATTTCCTTTTCTTAAAAGCGCTTTTTTATACCTTTTACCAAACTTCTTGGTTTTTTCATGAAATTTTACTCTGAATGAGGCTAACAGATACTATGCAAAAGTGTTGTGCCACTAACCTATTAAAAAACAAAAACAAGTGAATTTTTCTCATGCTTTAAAGATTTGATTTTATCTGTTCACCATACGTTTTCTAATCCTTTACTCGTCTTTCCTTTAGAGAGAAGATTTACCAACTCCGAATCGACGGCGCCCAAGCACAAGTTCAAGTTTAGAGTTGGGTTTTAGTCACACGGCTGAAAATTCTGTGGTCTCTGATTTTACAAGCTGCATGGAATTAGATTATTCTGTTCAAAGTGCCCATACCTCCAGTGGCATCTATACCTTGCGTTCAAGCTGTGAAACCAACACTGTTGCCAACACAACGATTGCTTGCTCATCAGAAACTAGTGGAATTTGTCATACAAGTGTCGGCGATTCTGAAGGTATTTTACCCATTCATTGTATTGCCCATTTATTCTTATTCAATTTTGACTTGCTCTCGTATGTATTAATGAGGTTATTGCACTAAGAAATATTCTTTATGCTTTTTGAGCAAAAAAAAGTTACATAAGGAGATGGGTCGCACTTTTTTTCTCCTCTATATAGTACTGAAATAAAAATTGCAAGAGGACCGCCCATTGGACACCATGGTTTTTTCATGTTACATGTCAATCACATGATTTCTTTTTCGAAATTTTGTATTTTGCATTTTGAAAGCACAAATGAAGGAGTAAAAAAAGGAGAATTTACACTCCTAACTTGCCTCTATCAACTTTTTAATTCTCTGAACTTTTCATTTTTTTTTTGTTCCAGGCCAGAGATCAAGAAGTGGATCGATTGTGTCTGCCTCTGGTAGTTTCCACGGTGATGGAAGTGACCCGTCAGATGCAGGGCGGGGCGCGTTACTCTCTGCCGAAGAACTTTCGGACCTTATCGTCGGAAGAAGCCCCAAACCACGGAGGGGCGTGTATCCTTCTCGTGCCACTGTCAGCTCAACACTAGATTCCGATTCGGATTATGTAACTCTTCCTCCTCCCCCACTCCCTCCACCGAGGTCTGATTCCATCAACGCAATGGACTATTCACTCCGATCACGCTGCCTCTCCTCTCCGAGCAACACGATGCTAACATATCATAGCGATCGTATTGAGGGCTCACTCTCACAACTGTCTCTGTGCTCCTCTAACCGAAAAGTGAATGGATTCGATGAGCCAGTTTTTCCTGGGCATACGATGCATGTACCTCAACAGCCAATTGCCACACCCCAGTCTCCGTCTTACCAGAAAACTGCCCCTTCGTACTTATTGCCAAACCCAACCTCGATAGCCCCACCACTAGTCCAAAGACCCCATTACCTCCCTGTCACCAGCAACAGTCAAATATCATCTTATCCTGGTACTCCGCTTACCCTCTCTCAAGAGTTCTCCCATTCTCAGCCGTCCATGGACCAAAATCATTTTGTACCCAAGTATTGGCAGCAGTATTCTCCCCTGAGCTCAATACCCTCCCCGCCAGAAAGCACCAGTGCTAGATTCATCACGAGTAAACCTCATATCAATTTAATGGCAGCACACACAATGGTGTCAACGAATCCACCTTCAAATTACACCGTATCCCCAACGTATCACCCAGTTTCTAGTCCCAGTGACAGAATCAGTCAGCAGCAGCGAAATATTCCTATTGATGCTGCATCTCGAATGAAAATCAAACATGATGCTTTCCACTCTAACTTGATCCCGATCGTCGGAAGTAACAACTACCTCGATGTGCGAGGAAGTGGTGCTGCTTACCTACAGCAAATTCATCAGGCAAACCCCCCTCCTCCCCCTCCCCCCAGATCATCCCTTGCGACAGTCTACACGAGTCAAGTAACGCGAAGTCAAATTGAGCAGTTCAAGCAGCAGCTATACTCTGATGTTGATTATGTTATCTATCCGATGCAGGACCCGGCCATCAGTAAACAGGAATACATCGACTCAAAGCTTCTTCGTCACTACAACCAAATGTATGCACCGCCGCCATATCCATCCTACCGCTCATATTCCGGTAAATCGCGTGTCATCTACCGCAGCACACCCAATGTTGCCGTTGCCAGTAGCTACATTCCAGTTTCATTTAGCAATTCAATTGTTGGACCTGGACAGAAATTTGCGTCGAACCAGAATCTAGTAGAATATGGTTACCCCGGTTCCACGTATTCGTATCTGTCGAGTCATCCGTCGTCTACTTCGCCACTTTACTCTGCAGCTGCATCGTACTCATCTTCCTCACAAAGTCTCTGCTATGATCCTTTGTCGTACCATTTGAGCGTTCCCAAAGTCCCTGTTTTACCGGCAGGTTTCAACAGAACCCGGTCAGATGACAATATCCTAAACTGCGTTTATGAAGAAAGTTTGTTACCAACACCAGAGAAGCCAAGGATTCGACGGCCACCGCCTCCTCCGCCTTATGATATTCAAGTAAGTTGTGTTTCTTGTATTAGTTGTAATGAATCAAAATGTTTCCATAATATTGAGAACTTTAGATAGGTAAAGAAATATTACAACTAATTTAACATCAATTTTTGATGAGCACCAAATATGGATATTCAAAATTATCAGGGAACAAATAGGGCCGAGATATTTCTTTTTCTTCTAAAAAATATTCAATTTCTCTAAATTTTGAGTCCCAATCAGAAACTGAAAAATTTTTAGAAAACTAAAGTACCAAGTTTTAGACCTATGGGATGTTTTGTCCAAATAATTAATTTGTAGAAAGAAAATTTTGGAAGCATTATTTCTCCTTTTGAAGCATGAAATTTATCTTTATCCCTTTGCGTACCTCACCCTTTTTATATCAGACATGATCAGTGATTCTAAATCAGTCTTCTTTTTCTTGAAATACATTGACAAAAATTAACAAACAACCTCTGCAGTCATTGCCACCAACATAATTTACTCGTCGTTATTTATCTAGATTTTTGACCGATTTGTCTTTATCTTCTGGGAGACAGTTATCCTTAACTCTCGTATGGAGCAAGAAAATGTAGAAATTTTTCTGCTAAGTTTGATCTTAATATCTCAAAAACTGAAAGAGATATTAGTCCTGAAGTTCCAAGATAAAAGTTCATAGTTTGTAGAAAAATTTGGTTAAATGTCTGCAAAAAGTCACGGGAAATTTTCTCCTGAAAAATGAGGTCTCTTTCTGCAGATATGGTCTCATTTGTTCAATTCATCAAACAATAGACCCAAAACTGAAACCAGCCACTTTTCTTTTCCATGGATAGTTCAGACCATCCATGAAAGTTAAACTACTGATATCCGATTTTATATCTTTAATTATCATTTTCTTCTCTTTTTCTTAATAATTCATTTTCCATGTGAGGAAGAGCACATCATCGAAAAATAAATTGTAAAATGTGTCACGACCGAATCAGTTTTAGCCATTCAATAACCCTCTACATCATCTTTTTCGCAATTTGTTCGTTTTTTTACAATTTTCTGTAAGGTAATCATAAAATTATTCATTGTTCTCTCTCTCTTTTCAGGTGAACAGTTCAACTGACCTACCAGCATCAAAATCTTTCGCTGTTAGTGCACCACCTGTTGCAAACCAGAAACCAATCAACAATCCAATCTCTCCCGGGTCTTCAGTGGTTTCGACGCTTCTGAAAACTGCGGCTGAAGAAACAAACAAGGTGAATCCTAGCGTCAGTTCAAACGTAGGGAATAGTGCAGATGAACTAACCACCATAAATGGGAGGCGAAAAGAATCCGGGAACGGTATGCTTGACATCCGTACTCTTCGCGAGAAGAGCCGCAACCTGGACCTCCCATTAATATCAGCCTTATGCAATGATAAGTCTCTGTTAAAACAGACAAACGCTTTTGTGCTGCCAAAACATCCGAGCAAAAAACTGAAAAAAAATGACAAACGACCGGTGTCATGGCATGTAGATTCTAATGGGGACAAGGCTACAGCACCTGTCATCGATAAGAGCGGGGAAATTTCCCCGAGCAAAAAGAATTCTCTGTTTGCATCGTTTTTGTCCGGTAAATCAATGAGCAACGGGTCCACATCTAACTCTCCGTCCTTGAAACATTCCCTCTCGCATTCGGGTATGTCGAACAGCAAGTTAAAGTACCCTGTGTCGGGCTTATCGACCAACCAGATCTTCAAGCCTAGTAAAAAAGCTGGTGCAAGCAGGCACACGCATCCAGCGGACAAATCAACCTCTGGTGAATCTGTCAAAACTACTTCAATAGTGAGTAAGAGTGCAAAAATAAGCCACAGCAAAAGTGCCACCAATATTTCGACGAACGGAATCAAAAAAGAGAAATCTCAGGAAACCATTGTAACATAGACACCTTTGTGGAAATTTCTCTTCCTCTCAAAACTTTACGCTCCGTGAGCGTATTTCTTTGACAGTCCTTCAGTAGATAAATGTTTATTCTGTTGCTGTTTTGCCATTAGTTTTAACCTCCTACTGTATTCATAGGCCAATTATTTGGTTAGAATTGTAGGAATATTAGGAAGAAATTTGTGAGTTAATAATAAACTAATCCTTAACTACTGTGCCATTGCACCGAAGAAATATTTGATCTTGCTTTCTTTAAGCCTAAATGATCAATGATGTTGATCAGGTTTTCACAATTGCCAGGTAACCTACAGTGTGGAAGTCTTGATTCCTTCTGGCAATGCCAAATCGATTCTCTTTAATTCCAAGGAGGATTAATTTATAAACAAGGAATATTGTTTATACTAAGTTCAAAGCCCCATCATTTTTAAAAACTCTTGAATTCCTCCACCTTTTGTCATTAATTTTCGGACTAATGTATTGATGGGCAGTAGCTCGTCGAAACATACGCTCAGACTTAAGCAACAAGAGGTAAAGCAATTTACGAGTTTTTAAAAAATCAAGCAGTTTTATACCTAGCTATTCTCCTTGTTGGCCCAAAATTTTCTCACAATTTATCAGTTGTTTTTCTGAAGCAATGGAATTTATGTTTGCCCTACAACCTTATCTATTTTATGCCACAATAAGTAGGAATTAAAATTTTTCATGGGGCAAGAATTTCATATGTGCCATTCGTAAGTTGTTCAAAACAACACCCGTCTCAAGCCTCATGTTTTGGAGTTGTCTCGTTCCAAGGGTAGAGAAGCTATTTTGATACTAAATTTTTTATCAAAATTATGCAACATAAGTTGCAGCAGTTTCTAAGTAATACATTTAGCAGTCAGACAGGTCACTAATTGCTAAATTTGTGGATCAAGCTCTGTAAATGTATTACTTATTATGTACATGAAACAATACTAGGCATAGTCTGTCTTAGTCAGTTTCTTAGTTTCTATTTTTTACTTTTGTAAATATTGTAATTAGTAAGATTGTAGATACAGCTTGATGAAAAGTGTAATTTGTTGCTGTACATAGTTTCTGTAAAGAATCTGATTTAAATTGAAAACAAACAAAAAAAATTAAAAAATTGGGAAAAAAGAAAAAAATTAACTTTCTTCAATTAATGTTGTGCAATTTTTAAATATTTATTAGGTAATTTGTGTTTTGACTAAATTTGCTCAATTTTTTTAATCTGTCTTACCTGTTTTATCTTTTAATCTGATAGGTAACGAATTTTATTAGAGACCAAAAACCAACCTTGTCCCAAAAATCTACAACAATTTGTTGTCAAAGAATCAAAGCAAAGTTATACTGAATAGCTATATTTAGTCCCTCGCCGCTGTTTTCAGAACATTTCTTGGGCTTTAAGATAGCCACTTTTGATTCTTTGATGTTGTTTTTAAAACTTTTTGTAAGCCCCAAGAATGTGTTGAGTCATGCCTAAGATCATTATTTATCAGCCACTTTTAAATGTATGTTAGTGTATTTTCACCCTCACAATGATGATGAGTCCATGAGATACATATTCATTCTTTTAACTTCAAAGATGTAATCTTGATGGGACGATCACACATTTCAAACTGCCATAACATTGTATCAGTCTTTTGTCGTTTGAGACCTTACAAATTTTGGAAGTGTGAAATCAAAGAGAAAATCAATCTGTTTGCAACTCTTGTCCTTTTTAAAATTTTAGACTTACTAGAGCCTTTTTTAGCATCTTCAAAAATATGTTTTTTTTCTCAAGGCAGTAATGTCCGACTATCCGAAGATTTGTGGTGAGAGCTGCAATACCTATCTTAAAAATCCTGTTACGAAACCACCAAAAAAAGACTGGAAAAAAGCCATTCTTGGCTCTGTTTGCAACCTAAAAGCAAAAGCTTGGCCAATTCTCTATCGACTTTTTGAAATGTAAGTTATTCAATTGAGTTAAAAACATGAAAAACCGGTATGGATTTTCAATTTTTGCGCGATCGACAGGTTTTCATTGTTTCGACCACTCTGGACCAAAAACTCAATCTTGACTCCGTCCAATAGCTGGAGCATCAAATAATCAGGGCAATATCTCCTTCAATAGTTGTCCCTGACACCTGTGGTTTGAATGGACTTATTGTTTTTGTTTCTCTAAAAGATTCAAAAATCAAAACATGATTTTACAATTAGTGTAATTGATCTATGTATTATTGGAGATGCAAACAAGAAAAGAATATACATGCTCAAAAATTTGTAATGAAGTTACCCAGAAGTTGAGGAAATTACTCAAATTGTAGCTCAGTAAATTCTATATCAGTGGTAAAAGGGTCCTGTTCCCTTGTGGTTTACTTAAAAAACTGTTTTTAGATGAGCCGAGGTCTTCGTGGAACTGCAACAGATCGCAGTTTCCTTTCATAGGATGAATGCAAATTGAATCGCTTTAAATTTACTTCCTGCATAGTTGATATGTAATTTTTGATGTGTCTCTGCTGGTGCCATTTTAAAATTTTTCAGTACACTTGTCATAAACACGATCAAAAATGGGGTTTAGAGTGAGTAGTCAAGCTTAGGTTTGATGAGGAAAGCCTAAATGTGCCGTTTTTCATCAAAGGCAGGGATTTTTTTGGACGTCCTACTCCTTTCTTTGCCTCAAAGCAAGGTGTGCACACATTAAAATTAAAAAACTGATGATTTTCATCTTTACTAAAATGTTTAAGGTCAACCACTTATTGTGGAACTGAGTTCTCTCAATTTCAGAGTGTCTCAAACATTACTTTCATTTTATCTCAAATTGGAAAAATCACTGTACGGACTATTTCTCATTTTTACATTATAAGCAGAAATTGTAACTGTAGTTTTTTTTTTTTTTTTTTTTTTTTTTTTTTTTTTTTCTTTAGCAAAGTCTAACATACGAAGCTAATCTTGGGTGACAGACAAACTGAAAATGTGTTTTATATGCTAGCATTGGTCATTTTGCTCATAAAATACATACAGCTTAACTTCCCTTATGTAGATTTTAAGAGCCTTAAGTTAGCCGTTTTCAGAATAAAATGGACTAATATTTTGCCAAGTGCCTTAATAGAGTTACCAAGGTGTAGGTTCATTTTTATTTTTTGATCCATCATGTCCTTAATCTGATCTAGCTTTGTAGTCGTCATACAATAATACCAGTAATACACGCACACACTAATCAGTATGAAAAGCTATTACACATTATGAAAATTTATTTAAACATATTCTTCTGGTCTAAATGTCATTTCTTTGATTTCAAGTTTTATTATGAGATGTGATCAGATCCCTGTGCTTTTTCTTTCCGGTGTTGTGTCTGCGATGGAAAACCTGCAAGGACACAAATGGAAGTTTCTAAATCCCCAATAGCTTGATTATATTTCAGCATGTTCCTTAAACCTTCTTAACTTATGTACTTTCCCTTGGTGTTGAGGGGGTTGCATTTTGCCATAAAATTATAAGGAGGATAGGGAAATGATGAATTTCCTTTTATCGAGATCGCTCTTAGATTTCTTGATAGTAATAACTCTCGATTATGGTAGATGAGTGCACAGCATTCGAAGTTCAATTCAAAATTTTTGAGTCCATTTAATTTCTTATTCAGCCAGGTTTAAATTTTCATAATGAAATGGACATTATGTTGGGTATAAAGATTTGAAAAATCTATCGTAGCTTGAAGAAGGGATTGGCTCTAATAATTTTCCCCACCGGCATGCAAGAAAGAAAGTTTTGTTTCATGTTAATGTCCAATCTTTGAAAAATTTGAGAAATTTGTTCTGAAGTGGAGTACAGAGGCATGAAAATATAACACTTCCGGCTAATTTTTTTTACTTTTTGTTTTAATGAGCAAAATTAACACCTAAACTCTCTTTACTCAACAGTTTTCTCAAAGTTTCCAAAGCCTGATAATATTTTAAAATGTTGTGTAGGTATTTGTACAAATAGCAACTTAGTTAAATTATTTGTGAATTTTTTTATTTTTTTTTTTAAAAAATTTTTGTTATACCTAAATACTATATTTTATACCAGTGCTCAATTGAAGCTGCGGATTAAAACTGCAGTTTCATGCCGCTGCAGTGGGTATCACACTGTTTGGCGGTATTCTATTTTGTTGATTTTATAATTTATATTTGTTAGGTTTTTATTGTTAGTTTTATCCATCAAAATCAGTGTGAAGAAACACTGAGTTAAATTTTCAAAACAAACCGTAGAATTTTGTACGTAAAGAAGCAAACATCTGTGCCAATTGCATACAAATTCCTTAACAATTGTACTTTATCATATTTCTACTTATTTATTTATTATTTTTTATCTGTCGATTATTAAATCAATCGAAAAACTGATTTTTTGGCTTCTCATTTCATATCTCTAAATCCTCCATTCTTTTGCAACAGAAAACAATTGGATGATGTATTTAATGTAACAATGATCAAGTTACATTAATTATTTATATTCAATTTATTGCTCTAAAAACTTCACAATTCATTGCGCGTAATTTTTTATCATAAGAACTCAGTTTAGCAGAAATGTCATAAATCTTATTTTTGAGAAGTTGAGGGAAAATATTTTCAATGTGGAAACAGTCGTTAAACTTGGTCCGTAAAATTGAGTCTCATGGATAAAACTGTTAAAATCTTTTTCTCGGCTCAAACTTGCTTGGTGCGTTTCTGCTAAATTTGGTCCATGAGATCAAAGTTCTTAAAGCTATATTATTAAAAATTGTCTTTTGAGGATGGATTTAAATTTTTCTGATAAAGACTGAGAAAGGGAAGAGAGTTAAAAATATTCAGAAAAGAGAACATATAACATATTGTACATCATTTTTATTAGATTTTTAACAATTTTGCCGTAGCAAAAACTGCAGCACCTTTCTTTTAACATCAGATAATACATACTAAATCTTAAATTACGATGAGTGGAATACAAATTTTACAAAATAAGCTAAAAGCTTAATAACTCATCATCTCTTCCTGTTAATGCCTCCCTCATTTGTACTAATTTCTAGAACAATATCAAACAGCACTTTCTATGAGAAACCAAGCAAAATTGTAAAAAGGAATCATTATCATTCCAATCACTGACCTGTCCTAATGATACATTTACACTTTCCGATTCCTTTCACTTTATGAGGACTAGAGATAACTTTTCAAACACTCCACTCCGTACAGCACTGTGCATTTCACAAACATGTGATGCATTGTTAAAGTCTTGACAATTGCACAGCACTGAGTAAACAATTGTTTGCTGAGCTCTGCAGAAAAGCTGTTAAACTCCTGCTAGAGTTATCCAATGACCAGCCATCTTGTTGGCGGGATCAGTCAGCAAGGATTTGAGGTTTGCTGCATCACTGATCTACCTTGTTTACTATCAAATTTATGTTGTCACTGAGCAAATAAATAAAAAAAGGTGGACTGATGTAATTTTGCCACCTTCAATGTCTTACTTCGACAATGCATCTCTGGTCTCATAACAAATTAAAATAAGATTAAAATCACAAAAGTTTTTCCTTCGTCTATCTGAGTTACACAAACCTCCATCTGAAAGGTAAGGCACATTACCAACAGTTAAATTGAAAAATTTTACCCCTGAAAAAACTAACCCCACTTCTAAAGATGATCAAAGAATCGACAAAATCTTTCCTTTCCTTGGATAATTATATCAACAGGGCAAACACTAATTCTTTCTGTTTATTATTATTTGTCTTGGGGAATTAATTGATTGCGGGTAAGAACCTTCAATTGAGAGCACTAAAATATGGATTTGCTACCCTCCCTTAATTAAAAACAAATTACATTCATGGCTCTATCTGAGGCGAGATTTACTTCACATTCTCAGATAAACTTGAAGACTCTCTCTAAAAATTTCAAAATGACTGACAAATTTTTTGCAAGAAACAAAAAACCGCAAGCAAGAAATTTTGTAAATAAATTACTCTAAAAAGTTACGGCTAATGAAAATCAATAAATTAGACATTTGAAAAGGCTGACACAAAGTAATGCCCAGCAAAATGATTCTCCAGAGATTACAGCTACTTGCCTTTTTAGAGTAGAATATCTAATAAAACACGGTACAATCATGGGGCTACCAACACTCAGAGGAGAGGATTACTAATATATTATAGGAGGGATCAAAACAGAAAATATCATCTTCTGTGACAAGTAACTGGGCACTTCTTGTCAAAACCATTCATAAACATAAACTAAAATACCTTACAAGAAATTGAAACCTTTTTTACACATTAAACTGATTCACTAAAATACTCAATTGACCAATAGTACAAATTGCAATCGCAAAGGTTAAAAGGAATAAAAATTGAAAAAAGTCCATCTTTTAAAAGAAGAATAGTTTTCGTTCACAAAGAATAATAAAAAATTATAGATAAAAAAAATAAATAAATAGATAGAAACCGAGCAAGTTTCCTGCCAATTTGTGCCTTACATATTTAAGATTTTAGAGAAGACATCCTCTTAAAGGGATTATCATATAACCAATGAAAGTATATCTGATGAAATAGTTGAGAATTTCTGTTTGCATGAAATTTGAAAATTCATACAATTATGGTGAACTTTTCTGGGTATCTTTAGCTGCATAAAAAACTGATAGTATCAAATGAGAAGGTGTGCTGTGATCCATTTCCGGTATGCTTCACATAAAGCCAAGATAGCTTTATTTATTGCCGGTAAGGAAGAAATCGATTTGATTGGGATGAATTTTACGGCTGAAAATGGCTGGTAAGAAACTTGGAGATTTACGAAGATCAATTCACTACACTGGCTGAGTAATTAAGCTACAATGGAACACTTTTAGTTTATGAACATCTCGCCTCTACCAGGTCCATAGAAAATCAAGGTACACAGGTCGACTGCGTTGATGCGAAGCTACTTCCATGCATGTGAAATCGGTGAAGCTTTGACGATAAACTTGATACCTGTGAAGAAAAAAAGCAGAAATTAGAAATGAGTATTCCCAGTAAACAGCAGCTATTCATTGCACGATAATCTTAGGTATTGCGCTCATGCTCCACGTCAGCGCAGCGTTGGTTAACAAAAAATTCTGGACAGAATTTTATCACTTGTTTTTCAAATCAAGATTTCCATCATTTCTTCATTTTCTCATTCCCTGACTTTTTTTTGGTTCCCTCTGACTGCAAAATGTCCCTGACTTTCTCTGACCCTCAATTAATAACTCCACTTAGATTTATTTTTTTACATCACACTGACTCTTGTCAAACTATTTGCAAAATCTCCGCCTATTAGATTCGAATTAAGAAAAAAGACACCCAGAAGTTGTTTGCACCTTTTTAAATGGCACCAGCTGAAGTTTCTGAGCTGATGCACTGCTCGCAAAATTCCCAGATGTATTCTAAGAATTTCCTGACTTTGCCTAATTTTTCCAGCTCGTTGCAAATTCTACGACTTTCCAGATTTTCTAGACTAGACTACTAGAAACCCTGCAGAAGGACTTTGTCTTTTCCTACAGTTTCCAATACAGCCAAATATGTTTCATAATAGGTATTTTTAGCATTCGAGTACTTTCAAGAACAGGGAAAACCCCGTGGAGCTGAGTGAGAACACCAAAGTATTTTTAAATACCTGCAAAAACCATGCTGCAGTCAATTACATTAACAACACTGAAGTTTCCGCATAACAGTGAACTGAGACTCACCTCGCCATCTTCATCATCATCTTCGTCGTCTTCAGAATCGCTCAACGGCACTTTGTCTGCATCATTCTCGAGCAGTAGACTTGTGATAGTATCATCGTAACTAAGTTGATAAGCTGTGCGCCCCCCATAATTCTCTTCTTCTATGTCACACTTTGTTTCGGTAAGGATGTACTTGGCCATTTCATAGTCTCGCCTGAGTACTGCTATGTGCAGCGGTGTGTAACCACATTTGTACTCCTGGAAGAAGAGAAGAGAAGCAATATTTTGTTAGGACAATGATCATTGATGAATTTTTTCTAGACATCTACTAAACATTCGTTAATATTTTAAAAATGAATTCTCAAGCATGAATTTTAAGTACTGAAATAATAATTAAAGTATGAAGTAAGTAAGTTTCAGTGATTTTAATTGAGACGTCCACAAACTTTTTTTTTACTGAACAGTTGTGATTTTTTTAGAGCATGAAGTCACTTTGCTACTTTTTACGAGTGACAGAGGAATGCGTTTTCCACTGGATACTTGAATTCTCGCTCTGTAATTCATTTTGCAGAGAAATTTTTTTATTTGATAGAAAAATTCGCACATTTAAGTATGGCTCAAGACTTTTTTTCAGAAAAAGAATGAAGCAGTCAGTAGTCAGTTGGATTTCAAGAACGAAACCAGACAAAAATTTCAAGCCTTAAAGTTTCAAATGTAGAACGCTGACTGGAGATATTTAGTAATACCTCTGACATGTTTGCATATTAACAGATAATCTGACTTCATTATTTTGAGAATTGAACAACATAAGTGCATTCAAAGATTTACTGCTAGGAATTTGCTGAACATTTGCTGCAAAATAAAAATGAGCTTCTTCACTGTACAAGGGTCAAATTCTTTATAGGTAGAAGTTGACCAAAAATAGCAAGAATCAGAACAATAAAATGAAATGTTGAGTAATTCTTGAGTAGCTTAGCAGTTGCAACTTTTAAAATTTTGAAATTACCTTAGAATCAATATTCGCCCCAAGCCACAGAAGCCGTTTCATGATGGCAATATCTCCATTTAATGCAGCTAAATGAACACAATATTGACCTGAAAGAAGAAAAAATTAACTATGTAGATCTAAGATAATGGGATCAAAATTAGAAAAAAATTACTTGGAAGCACTGGAGAATTTTAAAGAAAAAGTAAAAATAATCACTTCGGATTGAAAATTGTCATCACTACTATATTATGCAATATAACTGCACATGGAGTAAGGGACCTCATCTTAAATAAATCGTTAAAACTTAAGATTGGCTTGAAAATTTTGGGCACTTGTGACTCAAAAGGCTTGTGGAACACTCGTCTAAACTTTGGTAAGAATAAGTAAAATTTAAGTTTTTGTGGACTTTTGAAATCTCTTTTCCTGTGGGCGGTCACATTTCGCTACTTAGTTTACGTGCGCTACAGCTTCATCTAAAGTTTCTCCATATGTAAAGAAGATATAAAGGGCAATATTCAGCAATAAAACTGCTTTAAGATACGACAAGAACCTTTTAAACTCGTTACGTAGCGTTTCACTTCAGACCCCCCGACCCCTGTAACGCCGCGCAACGCTGAAAAAGACCCCCGTTGGAGCATTACTTAATTTGGGGACCAGACGGCAGAGGCGGATCCAGCAATTCGGCAACATCGAATTTCCTCCTTTTAAAGCTATGCTAATTAATCGATTCTTGTCGGAGCACCTGGCCTCTCCAAGAATCGATACAATTCCATAGGTTTAAATGGAGAAAATACAGCGTTGCCAATTTGCTGGAACCACCAATGCCAGACGGGCGGCGCCTAATATCCGTGGACTCACCTTCGTAGTTGACATAGTCGATATTGAGGGAGACTTTTTTGAAGGCAGGATATTTGAGATGAAGGGCGGAGATCTCGTAGTTGCTGACGGGGTTGGTGAGGGCCTCGATGCAGTCCAAGTTCTGGTTGTCGACGGCCAGGTGGAGAGCGGTGTTGCCGAACCGGTCGCGCAGGTTCGTTCGCGCCCCACACAGGACGAGCAACCGTGTCAACTGCGGCTGGTTACACAGCACTGAGAGGTGCAAAGCAGTCTGAAAACAAACAGAAAACACACACAATTAAACAAACCATGGAGACACGTCCGAGCAAAGTGAAACTTCGGGGAGAGGATCTTGTTCTTGCAAAACTGTGATTTTCGACGAGACATCTATCCGTCAGTATTGGATGCAGGAATTCAGCGATGTCCGTGTTGCATACGCACCGAGTTGAAGGCGTTTTGACTCTAGCACTGCGAGGATCTAAAAGGACAGAGCGCCTTCAATGGGTTCGTCGCGCCAGTCACAGAATCGTGTTTTAATGGTTTTAGCTTACACATTGGCAAAAAAATAAGGTATTTGGATAGGTATTTGATATGGTATTGGATTTACCTTATTTTTTTGCCAATGTGTAAGCTAAAACCATCAAAACACGATTCTGTGACTGGCGCGACAAACCCATTGAAGGCGCTCCATCCTTTTGGATCCTCGCAGTGCTAGAGTCAAAACGCCTTCAACTCGGTGCGTATGCAACACGGACATCCGTGGAGCTCGAATAGTTGCATGCGGGCGTTATGATGAATTTGTTTACGATTCTCCGCATAATGCAATGTTGCGGAGGCTTTGCTTCGTTTACATGAAACGTAATTTTATTCCATGGTTGCCTGTTGAGCCGATAAAATAGACTATTATTGATTTTTATGGCGACATTGTGAGAGATATCGCGAGAGAGTTGATGCTGCTGATTCGTTACTGCGTTAGGAGCTATGTTACATTCGCATTGTGTATTCATAGCCATATAGCTATGAAGTTTCTAGGTTCCCAGAAAAGGAGCCTAAAACACTCTCTCTTGGACTCATTGAAAAGTCATTCCTCAAATGCAATGTTTCTCCGAGAGTACTGATTCCTGTCCCCCGAGAAAAGACATGCTAAGACGATCAGTATAGCATTGGTATCGCATCTATGTCCACGTTTTGGATTAATATCCGAAGTCCACGCGTGCCGATTCGAATTCAGGCGGAAAAAGAGCCAACATATTGGGTTTCCCAGTCGAAAAATGAACATGGAAGCAGCAGGAAAACACTAGATAACTTGATAGATAAACACATTGTCCCCGTTCCTGATTGGGCGCGAGTTGGATGATAGGAGAATGCAAGCTGCTAATTATAGAGATGACATTTCATATGTGTAGCTCCTCCATTTGGAGGCAAATATTGACAAGAAAAAAAAGGGAGAAGAAAAATATCTAGAAGTTCTGAGGAAGGTGACAAAGTTGTGCTGACCAAACGGAAATTTTTACGGGTACAGGGAAAAGCTCTTGGATATTGAGGAAAACGTGCTACGCAAGACATAGCGAAGGCTAGAGGTTATGACACAGATTTTAATTTTGGCGATGTAAAAAGTAGATACGTTCTTTCGTCAGAGTAACGACAAATTTCGTAGAAGCGTAAGAGAGAATAAAAAACAATAAGTTACGAGCAGAGTGATAATCATTGTATTGTCGAACGTTACTCTGTAAATTTGGTGCAATTCGTTTAGTTTTGGTTCTAAATCATGTAAACAGATGCGAAGAAATACTTGTAGTAGTTACGTTACACTGACATAAATTCCTTAAAAAAAAAATAGGAGTGGGGTTGAATTACCTGACAGAAATCATTCCGAATATCGAGATATCTGGATTCGGGGATCATATGAACTAAATTTTGCACCACCTCGGTGTAGCCGCTAACTATGGCCAAATGCAGCTGCCTGAAAACAAAGAAACAAACGAGGGTAACATTATAGAGTATTGACGGTAAAACACAATCGAGTAAAAAAAAAGTAACTAAATCAAACGCATGGCGGACAGCAAATACTATAGTGTGGAAATTTCCACTCGTGAGTTGTAAGAAGGCGTTTTCTCGGTCGAAAACATCGAGGTATGCAACCTGAGACAAATATCCTGAGGATCTGCCACGTGCCGGCTTCAGAGGACGCGTTGTAACTTATTCTGAGGAACTGACATTTCAGTTTAATTCACTGGTTCTTAAAGGTGGCACACATCTGGACAGCGCTTTTTGATTCCCATTAATCGTTGGTGCTTTCGGACGTTCCTATCCGGCCAGGGTTGCCGCCGAATCTCGAAATGAAATCCCCTGACATTTCCCAGATTTCCCGAATAAATTTTAGTAAAATTCCCTGACAATGGAAGATATTCCAGATGGTAAAAAGACATGAGAGAGAGTTTTTCGGCAGAATTTGTTGTTCGGAACGTTAAACGAATTCTAGAAAACAAATAAAGGTGACTTAACAATTTTTCCTGACATTCCCTGGTAAAAATTGGCGATAGGAGCTGCGTTTCAAAATACCATAGAAGTTCTTATAGCCGACTGAAGAAGGCGATAGAAAATCATATAGCTGGCTGTAGAAAGTGGAAAAAATCATGCGGCCGGGCTACACAAGGCGATGAAAAATTATACAGCCGGGCTATAGTTCCTATCGCCGGGCTTTACACTTTATCGCCTTTATCGCTGTTGCTTTTTCGCCATCGGTTATAAAAGGCTATAAGAAATTGTGTAGAAATTCGTGTGCTTTGTAAATCCTTAAGTTTGTACGGAATCACCTCAATATTTACAAAACGAACATTATATTTTCCTTTACTACATATTTTTTTTCATAAATTAAAATGAGAATAATCCATACAGAGTGTGCAAACATTTCAAAGTCATGAGTTGGAAAACGCTGACTCCACGAGATTAAATATTTGAGCCTAACACAAAGCGGAGCGGCGGCGCACTGGCGCCTTCAAACCTAACAGGGATACTTCACGCATTGCGCAATGCGTGAAGTATCCTTGTTAGGTTTGAAGGCGCCAATGCGCGTTTCGCGCTGACTGCCCGCCCCCCGCGCCGCAGCGTACCGCGGCGCTTGAAGCAACTATTTCACACCAAAAGTATTGCACAGTATCATACAAAATTGCAGGCGATCCAACATGTTAGGAATGGCAGGCATCCTTCAAAAGTACGAAGCTTTCCTCGCAAAATAAATCAAGATACTACGGCCCAAAAAGAGAGCGGTAATCCAAAAACTCACCAAGTCCTAGCATCCGTAATTAGTAACGTTTAGCATACACTTTATCGCCAGGCTGTTGCTTAGTCGCCATCGGCTATAAAAGGCTATAAGAAATTGTGTTGCCGGCTATAGAAGCTATTGAAAATCTTACAGCCGGCTGTAGGTCTATGGTATTTTGGAACACAGATTCTACTGCCAATTTTTACCAGGGTTTCCCGGTTATTTTTCCTGACTTTTTGAAACTCCCTAACATTTCCCGGTATTCCCTGACTGTAGCAACCCTGTCCGGGGTATGCATGTTCAGAAAATACATTTAAGAGGCCTCTCACTGCTATCTTCAAGCTAATAGAAGTGCCTTAACAATTTTCTCTGACATTTCCCGGTATTCCCTGACTGTGGCAACCTCGCTAGTTGCAAAGTGTAGCCTAATTTTTCTGAGACGTGTTCCCTCTTTTACTCCAGACAAAATACGCCTGAAATTGGGTTTGCAGGTCAACCGCGACGATCTTTTCCTTGAAACTTGCAAAAACGGAGAATCGACCACAGACGGACCGCTGCTGCCCGGCGCTAGACACCGTTCGTTTCACACGGCGGGGCGTCGCGTCGCTTCGTCGCGGTGCGCTGAGCCGTTTTCCTCCTTCCTATGAAAGTACCCGTCATCCGCACTTCCCTCGACTTCCACCATAATTTTTTCTCTCTTTTTTTCCCCCCTATTTGCACTCCGCACTCCACGACAAGAATCCGCCCGGCAGCACTCCCGACTGCGGGGTCTGGCATTGGCCGTTGAACTTGCGGCCCGGGTAAACCCCAGCCTCTCCCCCTTCTCCCCACTTTCTCTCGAGCTTGACAACGCCCTGTGCAGCTCGAATCCACGGGCAGTTCGATATCGTTCGAGAAGACAGGTTGTAAGTGCACACTCAGAGTATTCCGGTGGGATGACAAGTTCCTGCGAATTTTTAGAATTTCTATTTTTTCCTGAGTTTTTGAAAATGTTGGCAGGGGGTCTATACAAAAAAAGGCCGGCCAAAAATCAGTACTTTTACAGTACATTCCCAAGAAGTTGAGTATCTACTCGACAGAAAAATTCAGTACTTTTTCAGTGCCTCCATTTGACGAAATTCGGAAAATTTCAAAAATTTGAATTTCTCGCTCATTGCGACTAAAAGGACAAATCAATGAAAGAAATTCCGGACCTTCTTGCGGAATTTCCGCTCTTTTTCAGTACTTCCGGACCGCCCTTGAAAAAACAGTACTATTTGACTTTCCGGAAATTCCGGACTCGTAGACACCCTGCAAGAAAATGAAAAAACATTCCGGAACTTCTTGCGGAATTTCCGCACTTTTTCAGTGCTTCCGACCCGTTTTAAAATAATCAGTGCTATTTCTGCACTTCGGGAATTCTGTACTTGTAGACACCCTGTACAGGATAGAGACCGACGTCACAAAAGCGTCACGAGGGGGGAGAGTGGGGGTTGAAAACCCCGAAATTTAACGTTACGCATTTCACGGACCTGCCCCTACGAACGGCCCCTTGACCAGACTGTCTACCTTGGATGATGAGAAGACAATCCCGCGGCTAGCCGAGGAACGCTGCTCGCTCGAACAATGAGAATTGCGTAGCAGGACGTCGATGAAGGGGGGGGGGGTTGGATTGTTTTCTTATGGAAAACTCTGGGAGCGCGACGACACGAACGACGACGCGCGGAGTTGCGCGGGCATGACGGGGATTCCCGCGCGAGCTGCCATCAGGAAGAAGTCTCTCGCCGTAGCGCGGTTCAGGGCCCAAGCATCGCGCGCCGCACCGCGCAACCGCCGATGGAGCACACAGGAAGCCAGCTGCCAGCGTGATTATGCAAGCTCCAGCCTCGACCCGACCGTCATCCGACGACTCCCAACTTTCGGTTCCACCGCTCCGAGTTCGCTTCGAGAGGCACACTCGCCCCGCGGAGACTCACGATCAGTAGGACCCAAAAATGAATCAGTGAGAACGAAAACACACCAACTCGGAAAAATGAAAATCATCAAGACACACACAAAACTGCACAGTAGGTGAATAAGTTACTTTAAGAAAGATTTTTGCTGCCGAAAGACAAGTACTCATGGACACTTTAAAGGTTCAAGTTGGAACAGATGTGCTAACATCAACGACCTAAGTTACTTTAAGAAAGATTTTTGCTGCCGAAAGACAAGTACTCATAGACACTTTAAAGGTTCAAGTTGGAACAGATGTGCTAACATCAACGACCTTTATGTAAATCAACTGTCTTTAATGGAAGTTGAGCATTTTCGAGTTACCGAGTTGGTGTGTTTTCGTTCTCACTGATTCAAATGTGGAGTACTTTCATAGGGAGAGTATGCTGCCGTGCTAAGGAAGAAAGCCGTATGAGGTTTCAGACGTTGCCGAGTTTCCTGCGATAAAAACCGAATTTACTAGGGAAATGGAGATGTTGCATGTTTGAGGAATTTGCGATTTGACTATTGATTCTTGTGTAAAAGTTCGCGAGAAACACGATGGTGCCACTGGTTTTCTCTTAATTCAACTCCCAAGCTCAAAAAAAGCTCTCAAGTTGAGGCCAAAATAGAGGGGATATCCCACGCGATCCTGAGAGTCCAGCTCTACATAAAGATAAACTCTCCATGCAAAAATAGGGAGCAAATACATTAGCAGGGTTGCCGTGTTTTCAGTTTTAGAGTCCCCAAATAAAGTGGCAGCCCTGTCAATGTATTTGCTCCCTATCTTTGCATGGAGATTTCGTTTTGATGTAGACGTGGACTCTCAGGACAGCGTGGGATATCCCCTTCATTTTGGCTTAAATTTGAGAGCTTTTTTGAGCTTGGGAGTTGAATTCAGAGAAAACCAGTGGCACCATCGTGTTTCTCGCCAACTTCTACATGAGAATCGCAAATCGATTTTACCATTGTAAAATTTCTCAAGGAAAACAATGGTGCCCTCCTCCCCCCCCTCCACCCCTCCCCGATAAGGACCCCTGAGCTCCGCGCTGGCAGAACTGGGGAGGCCCTAGCGCTTGGCCTCCCAGAAATCTACTTGGCCCCTCCTAAATATGTGCAGAATTTTGCTAAGAATGTACATCCTGACCAGGGTGTCTGGATTTTTTTTTTTCACTTGGGAAATCCTGATGAAATCCTGATTTTTGACTGCTGAATCATTATTTCATAATTTTGCTGAATCCTGATCAAATCCTGATTTTTTGCGGAGAAAAGTCAACGGAAAATTAGCGGACGGCCGACTTTTCTCAAATCCTGATTTTACGACCAATTTTCCCTCAAATCCTGATAGAATCGGGAAATCTTGATACTACACACCCTGCTAACCTTAGGCGGGGGTCCATTTTCATGGAGTTCCCTCGCTGTGAGTCAAATTTTTCCCGCAAATTTTCCCGGTTTTCGAGGTTTTCCAGCTCTGCGAGCACTCCGAGCGCAACGTAGTCAGGCGTTGAAAAGTAAATTCAAGATGCCATCTTCACGGCGCCGTTCGAACTCGAATTGATACCGCCGAGTTTTCGCGGAGAACTGCAACAACCTTAGCAGCGCCGGGGAAACCCCGCCACTCGCCACATATCTGTATTCCGGCTAATCGTGGACCGTTAAAGCACGTTTAGAAGGGTCAACAGTCGCTCGCCAGACGGTGGGCGCTCGTTAGGAGCCATTATTGCCCAATTATCCGAGCCAAGAGCCGA